TATCCCTTGGGGTTATTCTTCCATTATTGTATCACTTGTAGTGGAAATGAATCAGCAGGACTGGATATACTTTTTCACTCATCAACAGATTTTTTTCTAGCTTCTAATAAATGGGCTTTTGGGCACAAAGATATTAGGCAGTTTTCACTTAAGAGTTAGAATAAAGAAGCAACGTTTATTTGACACTAAACTAAACAAAGGCCTCAGTATGAGTGATGCTTGTATGGTGCTGAGGCCATAGAAATTAGCCACATAGGACAAAGGACAAAGACTGGAAATTTAACTTTATGTTTCCTGGGTTCATTTATTAAAAGGTGATATCGGTGAAACCCTTTTGAGTTCAAAAATATTAATTTAAAACATGAAACTTTTATCTTTGTAGAACACAGGGGTCAATATATAGTCCAGACTTTATGTTCAGTCATTAGAGTGGAAGCCAATTTTGTTTCTGCTGTTTCTTCTTTGGCAAGAAATTGGAAGTTGTAATTCAGCATCATCTCAAAGAGTCCCGTCCCCCCCAAACTTTGTTCCAGAAAATATAAAGACTTAGGGTGGGATACTTTATTTTTATGGGAGAATGAAGTAAGTAAGGCTTACATTTACTGTATCTGTGTGCTGTGTGTGTATTATTCAAACACTACTCTCTATACGTCTCCCTGTATGCGCTCATTCTCCTAATGGGGAATTACCTCAACACCTTACAATATTCCCTCTGGGTATAGACGTGTGTGTGTGTGTGTGTGTGTGTGTGTGTGTGTGTGTGTTTGTGTGTGCATCCAATTTGCCTTTTTCATTAAAAAAAAATCACTCTAGATAGAGAGACTATATGTCAGACATTTGCCTGTGACTCATTTTAACACTATTTATAGTTGGGAGGGGAGTTGGGGAAGGGAACAACAGTTTGAGAACCAGAGTTTAAAAATGAAATTCCAACAGACAAAAGCCATTTTGGCAGCAATTAATACGAAGAAATTTCTATAGACCATCCAAACCAAATAAAAGAGACAAGTATATGAAAGGCTCCTCAGACAGTGGTACTTTTAATGCACTTGACCTGTGATCATAGGGGACAATAATTACCCTTCAGAGCCAATTTTTCTTTAACCACAAAAGCATTTTGATTTCTTTTTAATGGCTTTCCCATCTATTTTTTATTTGGAATGCCTTCCTGTTTCAGTGAATATGGAACTACCAGTTTTCCCCCTTCTTTATTTATTGATGGGCTTAGTTTTGCATGTGCTTTATGTCCAGCAATGAAATTAGATGACAGTTTCTTTCAGTGTAGTAAAATTAACCATGATTTGTGTCTGCTTTCTCCTTTAATAGCTTACATATTAGTTTCCGCTTCAATGTCAAGGAAATAGAAATATGATATCAAATTAAATATGAAATTTGAGTACTTCTAATTTGTAAGGATGATTTACAGAATGAATGCCATGATATAGCTATTGCTAATTATTAATACTTTACTAAATCAAAAAGTTGATTCTTAGGACTTTTATCTCAAAACTCTCGACTATTGTTCATTTGTCAGTATGAAAAGACAGTATCAGGCTGCGATCATTTTTATATATGAGGAGTTCCACAAAATGCACTGAAAATTACCTGAAAGTAAATATGCAGAAGATAAGATAGCCAGTAATCCATGCTAACAGAGTAATTTTTGTTGTTAAAGACTTTTAAAATACTTCCAATATCAGTCCAATGTATACTTGACATTGCAGTAAAACTGCATATTATTTTTGAAAAATTAAAATTAAAATATAATTTATTTGAGCTATAGAAATCTTCAAACATAATTTGTCTTCAATTTAAATATTTTCAAGAAAAGAACAAAAGGCAACAAAAGGAATATGCCAGTGTTTATAACACCAAAGTAATTTAAATATACCACATATAATTATCATGCTTGTGCTTTTTTGTTAACTCTTCAAGTTAACAAAGCACTAAACAATTCATAATTCATAAACTGGTCACTAATAAATACTGATGAACTTCTTTATTGTTAAGATTTATTTGTAATATACACAGGGATAGGCTTCAAAAATTTTAGCAATGGGTTCTCTGTCTGGTTGCTTGGTGGGTGTTTTTCACTCTCCCTGAGCCTCCGCATGCACCCTGCACTTACCTACATCCAAAATGGGTCATGTGGGAACTCCTGGGAGGGGTGGAGTGGACAGGGCCAGCCAGGAGTGGGATTTGGGGGTTCTTGAACTGTGCAGAATCTTAGCTAGAGGATCTCCCAAACCCGTGAACCCCCAGCAGCGCACCCCTGAATATACAGCCCTCAATGTTGACTTATTTTGAAGTTATGATATTGTGAAATGAAGCATTGGGACAAAGTTGATGTGTAATACAGTTTCAGACCATTTAAAAATAATATTCACTTAGCAACAATATAATGTGCTGCTTAGTGTTGCTTTAACTATTCATACATACTGTATCAATTGATCATTCAATATTTTACATATATTGGGCTACATGGGGCTGAAAAGTATTCAGCTGGTAAAATTCTAAGTAATTTGAATCTAGTACTTTGAGTTTCATGCTATATTAATGTGCATATCTAGATTTGTTTTGTTATAGGTCTTTTAGATATAGAATCATAGAACTATAGTGTTGGGACCTTCATAGTCTTCTAGACCAAACCTTTACCCAGAGCAGAAATCTCAGGCTGTCCCTGACAAATAGCTGAATCTTTGCTTGAAATCTCCCAGTGATGGAAGACCCTTGTCTCTAGGAAATAAGCTGTTCTACTGCTTAATAGCTCTCGTAGATAGGAAAGTCAAGTTTGACATTTCCTCTGTAAAGCTTTCCTTCATTGGTTCTTGCCCTACTCTGGAGAATAAATCCACACTCTCTTTCCTGTAACAGTTCTTCAACTATTGGAAGACTTGCTTTATCTTGTCCCTCTGAGCTTTTCCTTTTAGGCTAAATTTATCCACATCCTTTACGGGACAGTTTCATTTCATTTCACTTCACTTCACAGGACAGTTTCATTTCATTTCAATCGACAAATAGAAAACATAATAGTATGATTTTTTAAAACATTTAACTTAAGTAGTGACGTGTTTAGCTCATCTGTCCAGTCCTTTGGGAATAATAATTAGCAATCATTCTAGTGTCTCAATTCTATTTAACTTTAATTAAGAATGTAACTAAAATTAATTTTACTTTTGCCCTTCTGTGTTGCAAAAGTTGATTATTAAAAAAAAGTCATTGACTTCATTATGAATTTCACAGTGAAAGAAATAAGCCATATTTTAAAAGAGTTTTTCAATAGGCATTTCAATTACTCACTTTGAGAACATGGGATCTAAAAATACATGCTGTTATAGTCCAAGAAAGACTTCTGCAAACTTTTGCAAAGTTAATGCCAGCAAAACATAAATCAATAATCAAGCATTTGGTTGGCAGTGAACAGGAGGGGGTTGGCTGTAATTGGTATAATATGGCACAATGATGAAAGAGATTTAGACATCTTTTTTTAATGATATTCCTGGATGGTAAGGGGAAAATAGAGGTAATATAAAGCTGCATAGCTGATGCAGCATAACCATAACATAAAGCATGTTAGGCCTGGTTTCTTTACTTCCTCTAATCAAGACAAAGGAATCACTTTGCTTTTAAGTGCTACTTTTCTACCAGGAATCAAGATATCTGTATTATTAATGGACATTTTACAACACGGTATTGCATTTATTATTGTGAAGGAAAACCATGTGACTTGTCATAAGAATATTCATGCAGTCTGGTGTGTTACACTGATTTATGACCAAGGAGAATATCTTTGTCTTTAGTATATCCAAAGTCCATATTGTTTCATAGGTTTAGATATATTCTAGTTATTTTCTTACTCCTATTAACCATCCAATAGGAAAGTATGATAAAAATGCTGCTTTTTGGCTAAAATCAAATAACAAAACATGAAAATGAATAGCTAGTCTTCTGCAATATGCAGAAAAACCAATTAAATTATCCTTAAGGGGTAGAGGTATAGCCCTTTTAAACAAATCTTTCAGAGATGGAAAATTCATAACTCAATAGATAAGCTTTCTCTCTATTAAATAGATCTATCAGGAAATTTTTCATGATGTTTAAAGAAAATGTAGGTAGTTACAATATTATTTCTGTGGCAAAGGAAAATAATTCCTGTCCATTTTCCCTAAGGGAAATTTTATGTACCTGAAATCTGATATTATGTCTCCCTTCAGACATGTTTTCTCAGATTATTTCAATTTTTCCTCTTGTACATGTCCTAAATTCCTGTATCATTTTTGCTGAGTATTCCTGAAGCTGTTCTAATTTGTCAATATCGTTCTCAAATATGCTATATTCAGTATTGTATACAGTACTCCAAGTGTGATCTTATTAGTACATCATTTTCTCCTATGTTCCAATAACAGAATAAATTCTGTTGGCATCTGCATTCTTTTTTTATTCGGCATAGTAAGGATGGTTGTGCCTGTTTAATTTCTACTGGTTTCAATACAGATTTTTACCTATTTTAATACTATTTTTAAAAAAATCATTCTTACTTGAATGCCTGCAAATGTTTTGACTATCAAATCATAATCCTGCTCAGTGCAATAAACCAAAATAAATAATCCTTGGTAAATCGATATATACCCAGAAAAAGACAGTTCACCACCTCATTTCATAAGTGCTTGAATAACTGTTAATATTAGGATGATTTTCCTAACTTTGAAGTAAAATCTGACTATTATTTAAAATTATTATCTATCCTGCATTTTGGGATAACAGGAATTAACTTTTATTTTTCTATTATTTGATATTACTTCAGTGCTTGAAAATTGTTTTTGTTAATATTCTGAAGTCTAAACATTATCTAACTGAAATCTTCTTTACTTTCTTTGCTGCAGTTCTAGTTTCTCTGATACTTTCTTAAAATGGGGCACACTGGGACATAACTGAGTGTCACTAATAGGAATTAGTTCTTCCTGTCTCTGTAATTATTATTTTTAAGTTATTTTTTTTAAATAAATATGAAAAGCTTCATGAATTTTTATGTCATCTTTGTTCAGGGGTCATGCTAATCTCTGTATCATTCCAGTTTTAGTGTATGTGCTGCTGAAGCGAGCACCATTTTTAAAAATCTTCTTGTCTAGCCTATCAAAATCATTTTGAATTGTCTGTCAGTTTTATGAAATTTAGCTATCCCACACTATTTTGAGTCACCTGCAAAGCTGATAAACATTTTCCCCACTTCTATTTTACTTGCTAATGAAAATGTGGCAAAGGACAAAACCTTGAGGCATTCCACTCCAGTCTGGAGAGTTTTCAAGCCAACTGTGGAACTATTTAATGGACATCTCATTCAGCTCAGTAGCTTGCAAAAATCAGAATGCCATGGCTACCCCCAAACTGCTTTCTGAAGCCAAAATATATTGCCACAGTGGAAGAAAATGTATTGCCATAGTAGAGGGAAATATCTTAATTAAAAAATGAAGTCAGATTGCAGTAAGACCTTTTCTTTTAAAACCCACATTTTCCTCTTGAGCATAATGGAAAAAGAATTGGAGAAAAAAATTGGAACTTTGTTACTATATATATTAGCAGCAGCAAGATTACTGTATGTGCAAAAATGGAAGGACATTTCAATTCCTACTTTAGAAGAATGGCTGCAAAAGTTGATGGGGTTGGCAGAAATGGAAACATTGACTACTCTGCTTAAAGAAAAGAATACAAGTACTTTAGTTTCCACATGGAAACTGTTTCTGAACTTCATTGTTGTAGAAAAGAATGGAACTTGGATTCTGGGTTTTACAGATTAGATGGATAGACTTTTGTTGAAATGGCTGGTTCATATATTATGGTAAAACAAAAAGTTGTGATTTGTTTGTCTTATTCTACTGTAATACATAGAGTCGGAAATCAATGCTTCTTTTTCTTTCCCTACCTTTCTTCATTTTTCTTTGCCCTTCCCGCTTCCCTCTCCCTGTCTTATTTGCTGTTATATTTTGTATTTTATACTACCTTGTAACCAATAAAAATATACATGGAAAAAACAAGGCAAGAAAATATTTTGTAAAAGAGCTAGGCTTTACAGCAGAGGTCTCCAACCTTGACAACTGTAAGACTTGTGGACTTCAAGTCCAGAATTCCACAGCAAGCCAAAGTTGCCAAGGTTGGAGACTCCTGCTTTATAGTTTGCCTTTCAATAAATATTGTGCAAATTGAAGTCCTACATAATTACTTCTTGGATCTTGGAAAGACCTGCAATATGTTTTTGGAAAGTGTCAGCCACACATTCACCTTGATGGGTGGCTCAGATGAATAGAAAAGTCTTCCCAAAATGTATTTGGAAAATAAAAATTGATAAAACAAATACATTTGGGGAAGACTTTTTTTTTTTTGAAAGAAGGCCCAAATTACTTATGAAAAGAAACTTGGTTATAAATATTTTATTTCTGGAAAAAACCCAATAAGTTTGTTAACGGGAGTTAACTTTAAAGAGTATTCAAAAGTTCCTGATTTCTGCTCATGGAGATGTCCTTTTTTTAAAATCTGAAAGGTCTTCTCATTTTAAAATATTGCAATACAATATTTTTTTATTCTGCAAATCTTTAAAAAAATTACCATTTAATTCAACTGTCTGTAGCAGCTATATCCTATATACCAGGGGTTGCCAACCTTTTGGATCTCGGGGACCACCAAACTCAATTTTAAATCCCATGGACCAGAGACCCTGGGAAAATCCCTAAAAAAGTCTGCAGGAAAATTCTCCACCCCGATTCCCTACCGATCGATCATTCTTTATTTGGGATCACAGGATACCATCTCCAGCTCTGTTCTCAGTGGGAGAGAGACTTTTGGCTTCATGCAAGGAAAGCAGCAGAAATCTTTCTCTCCCCCGAAACTCCGCCAGAAATGAGTCTTTGCCAGTGCAGCCTCTTGGAGCAGGAGGCCTTTCAGGGTCCCAAAGACTCATTTCTGGCAGAATTTGGAGGAGAGAAAGAAAGACTTTTGCTGCTTTCCTTGTGTACAGACAAAAGCAGAAGAAGAAAGCAGAAAGAAGCAGCCCGGTGGCCAGGCCCTCCGCCCTTCCCCCCTCCCCTCACTATCTCAGATTGTTCGCAATGCAAATGGTGCAAGCCTCGTGTTCCCATGGGCCATGTGGGAGGCACAGCCTTGTGTTCCCGTGCAGCCTGGATTAATTGTTTTGGGGGGTACTTTGGGGGTGACATTTCTCTGTGGACCACCAACATTTTCTCATGGACCACCAGTGGTCCCCGGCCCACTGGTTCGCAACCACTGCTATATACTACTACATAAGTCATTAAATTATAGGATTTACTACAACAAACTCAGCATTACAGTACTAGAAGCATACATTACGATGTATAATTACAGAATGCAAGAGTATGTCAAAGAATTTTCACCAAATAATAGTTCAAAACTACAAAGGAGACTTTCTTGGGTGTTGGATCCCACTTATGAAATCTATCCCCAGAGCCTGCATAGTATCTTTGTTGCCTTTCCAGTCCAAGTCATTTTTCATTTTGTTAAAAAGAAAGCTTTAATAATGTTAAAACTTCTTTTTTTATTTTGAGTAACAAAATTATATTGGAATAATGACTTTATTTTATATTATCTTTTCCATAATGTAATTCACTTTATTATTCTTTTTACTTTTATAGTATTAATAGCTTTGGAAGTTTTCCATGCTGATTAGGGATTACAATCAAGTTTGATACTGCTAAATTTTGGGTTGGTTGATTGTTTTCCTTAATACAGCCAAAGCTATGAAAAGGATCAGATTAGATCCATCAAAAATTGATACCGGGAATAAAGAAACATCCAAATTAATCATACAATCATCAGAAAGAGGAGAGAGTTCCAGATATTTTAAACTGATAATTATCCAACAAGCAATTATTTCTTGTTACATTGTTGAAATTTATGAAAGTTTTAATGTAAGTAATTGTGATAAAGAAAAAAGTTCTAAAGAATATTAGGAGCAAGAGTGATATTTTCCACATTAGTAAAACATGATCACAATAGCACTTAGACTTATACACAGTGCTTTACAATCCACTCTAAGCGGTTTTCAGAGTCAGCATATTGCCCCTAATATGTTGGGTCCTCATTTTGCAGACCTTGGAAAGATGGAAGAATCTGATTATTTGCCTTCTGGGGAGAATGTATAATATAAGCTGTTGAAACAATGTAGATTCACACATAGTTGTGAAGCATAAAGATTATTTATGAGTCAACTGCACATTTTCACAGCTTCTGCTGCTGTAAATTGAAAAAGTATTAACATCATGGCTTGCACATGCCCCACTAACCAGGGGTGGGCTTCAAAAATTTTAGCAAGGGGTTCTCTGCGTAGTTGCTAGGTGGGCATGGCCTAGTCGGTCTCCTGCATTACAGGGGGGTTGTTTTTGCCCTCCCCAGGGTCCAGAGGCTTTCTTCGAGCCCACCTATGGCCTTCCCAAACTTCCAGGAGGCCCATTTTTCATTCTCCCTGAGCCTCCACACGCACCCTGCACTTGCCTGCATCAAAATGGGCTGCGTGGGGACTCCTGGGAGGGACGGGGTGGGTGGGGCCATCCAGCAGTAGGATTGGGGTTTTTTCTGAACTGTGCAGAATCTTAGCTAGAGGGTCTCCCAAACCTGTGAACCCCCTGCAGCCTACCCTGTCTCTGATTTATATTTGTGCAAATATTATTTATAGTTTTAAAAAATCTCCTTAAAGTTAAGCAATGAAAAATGCAATGGTGTAGTGGTTAAGTAGCTGGCCTAGAAAGCAGGAGAATTTAATTCTACTTCTGCCTTTTCTTGAAAACCGGTTGGGTAAGGTTGGGTTGGTTACTCTCTCTCAGCCAACTCACCTCACAGGATTGTTGTTATGGAAAAACAGGGGGAGAAAAGAGAATTGGTGTGTTTGTCATCTTGAATTGCATATGACAAGAAAGAAAAATCTAAAATAAAATAAAATAAAACCTTTTCCATAATAAAGCAACACATTAGTACAACAGCCAGTTCTTTTCCAATTATTTTTGTATCTGAAATGGGAAAGAAACTCTACACATGAAATTTTTAATACTCTACATTTGTGCTCAGGATTTGTTAATAACACTTTAAAAAGCATAATGTAAAAATGAAACTTTTTTTATTATTCAACTCAAGTTATGGGTGAATGGACCATTTTACAATAATATTACAATTTAAAACCAAAACTATAAAAAGATGCTTAATGTAATTTAAATGTGTTTTTGAAACACTGATGGAACATTTCTTTGCAGATTTTTTTTTAATCCCAGTCTCATACATACACTGTCTCACTAAATTCTGGTAAATATATTTTTACAAACACATTAGGTGAGTAATTGCTAATCATGTAATTTTCAAAACAACAGTTATTTATGTTTGGAATTTCAAGACCTTTCCTTGATTTACAGTTTCAGTAGAATGAATTGTTCTTCTTTCAAAGCATTGTGAAGAGAGAATAAGTATATAGTTAACATCTCAGTAATATTCACAGAAGAATCCATAGTATGTAAAAATTGATTGTGTTTATTGCTGCCTCCTAAACATGTCTTTTTTCTGCACCTGTACATGTGAGCATAGCACATTCTTTCAACTACACCCCCAGAAACTGCATTTCAATGTACAAATGGGGGACTGAAGGCAGTAATTTTGAGATTATTGCCACATCACCCACACTAGTTTGATTTCAGACAGTCCTACTGCCTATGGAACGATTTAAAGAAGCAGAACATACGTTAAGAGTGTTAGAATTTTGAATAAGAAACAGTAAAGAATGGGATGCATATTTCTTAGCAAAATTTAGGAGCCATCAATATTTTTTGGAATCCAGATAGGATACATCTTCTTCTTGACCTTTAAAACAATCCACAAGATTCTAACCAATGTCCATGTATATTAAGTGGGGGTTTTTTTTGTCCCCCTGCATAAGAACAAAAAACAAGTTCTATAAAGATCATAGTGTGTATTTTATGATTATGGAGCACTTAAGTCAGATTACTAATTAAGTACCTGTAGGAAAAATAAGTATTGATAAAGCCCTCATTTTGGCTTGACAAAATTAAAATTAAGCATTCAGAGGATTAACGTATGCTTAAATTATGCATAATAGTTCCTACCTCAATTGATGAAAACATTCATTGCTGTTATCCCCATTTGAAAATTATATATATATTTATATTTATATGTATATCTCAAAATAGCCTTAACCCTTTGAGGATCATATTAGCAGCAAATCACAATCTAGACTAGGCTTCCCCAATCTGGTTCTCTTCAAATGTGAAATGGGAATGCTTGGAAATTCTGGAAGGACACTCCCACCACACCTGTGGATGTCAGGCTGCAGAAGGCTAGTCTAGACAGAAAACAAAGACCATCTCAATCATATAGGAAACTATTGTTATAAAGATACCATTAAATTCCTTTCTGGCATCTTTGTCAAGGAACTGATACAGACAAAAATCAAATGGAAAAATTGCACATGGTTTCAAGAATTGTTGTCAAAATCTCAAAGGGTTAAGCCAGGACTTTCAACAGAAGTAATGTATTAAAAGGGTGAATTGGGTGAGCGAACAGTCTCAGATGAACTTGGTGAATAGTCTTCTGATTCAGAGTTGAGTTCAGGAGGTGGTGGCTGTGGCTTAAAACGTCCCCTCACATCCGGGTTGCGTCTTCGTCGGAAAACCTGCCTCTCCTTATCAAGAGCGGTGGTCTGGCAGGGGCATAAAATGAGAATAGATGAGATTAGGCTGTGCATGAAATAGCAAATCTGACTCTCATTTTTCCTCTTTTTCAAAGCAAACCTCAACCCAGGTCAAATTAACCCCACCCCACCCTCCGCAACCACCAGGTTTGGCTAGTTTTGCAAGCTTTAATCCATTACATGACTCAATTCATATCAAAGTGCATAATCCAACCTATAAAGAGGCAGTGTGATCTCATCAAGCATGTACAGTATGAGTGCATGACTCTGTATGGATGCCATATGTTAGACTTCTGGAAGCTATTAATTTTTTTTTTTAATGATAGGTTCAGGTTTCAGACAAAATTCAGGCTAACCTGCTTTTTTCAAATGAGGTCTCGGCTCTGAATAGAAATTCAATGCAATTTAATCAAATCAGAGAGGTAAATATTTGCCAGTGTTCAAAATAGTGAAAGTATCCATCAAAATACACTGCTACAAATATTGATTTTTGATAGAACAATTGCAACATGCTCACTCCTTCTCTCACTTCATGCCTTACTATTCGTCTTTTCCCTTTAACTCAGTCACTTGTTCACACATTACAGAAGCATGCAGACCATTTCTCCTTCCCATAAGTTTGCATTAAGCTTTCCTCTTGCTCTTTTTATACATTTTCCAGCCAAACAAACTACTCTTACCATTCTCTTCAGTCATATTGGTTGTTTCTCAGTGTGAATTGAATTGCCACCAATTTTCTTGGGCAACAGGTTTAGTACTCATTTTCTAGATCATTCCACCTAGATTCTCCTCACCACTACCTAGTTCTTATTTAGACATAGACACAGAGATACTTTTGGAAAGACTTAAACTATCTGTACAGAAATTCAAGTAATTATATAATAACTTGTTGCAATGTTGGACCCAATAAGCATGTTTTTAATTTTCAGAGTCATTCCAAGTTTTGTTAGTTTGGATGCCTTTAAACATTATGTAAATTTCCTGCAGTTCCAGGAAATGGGACTGAGAATTAGCCTCTAAACTATAAACACTCACTGTAGTAAACCAGGTTCAAAACTACTGGAAAAGCCCAATAAAGCTAAGTGTTGTCAGAAATGTTGGAAAGACTGTTCTGTTGGGCTGATAAGAGTTTATTATACTTCAAAAGATATATCAGTTGTTCTTGAGACATTCACAATAGTTTTTTATGAAAAATCTACCAGTTATACAGTGACCCAGAAACACAGTTATACCCTGAGCATTTTGGGGAACAAAATTAAAACTAAATCTATTATGTTAATGATATCATATCATGCAGATTAGTATTATAGCAATCTATGTTTTAAAATAATGCAATCAGGATTCCAAAATGCAATAAAAGCAGAAGATGGACAAAATTTATAAAGCAAATGGATTCAGTTAAGCTAAATTGTTCCACTAATAGTTTTTTAGTTAGAATATTTGAAGGATTGATAGAAAGTGGCAATAAAAGTTCATGTTTGGATCTTGGAGGGAAAAAAGACAATACTAAACTCCAACTGCTATCGTTTGCCAAAAGTTCTTTGTTTACAGTTGGTCCTTGGAAAAGGCCTAAACGGTTTTCAAAGTTGTGCTTTAAAACCAACTTTATGATTATATTTTAATAGAAAGCAGAAGACATTTGGAATTATATTCACATTACAGAGATAGAATTTACAGTATATAATTCTCTGTAACAAATGGAGAGAATGGCATACATTACTATTCTATGACATACAGATTTGCATTTAAAATATTTCTGTGCACAAAAGGAGTTCATTTAAAGATTGACTCACATCACATCATTTTTATATTAATCCCAGATTCATGAAAAATTCTTTCAGCAGGAAAGTCTAAATTAAAATGTTCACTACAATCCAGGGTAACATTCTCCTGGTGCAAGCATAAGCAACTTTTTGTTTTGATTTTAAGGATGAATTAATCGTCATATTTCTATGCGATTGGGGTTCATATTGTTTAAATCAAAATCTTTTGCTCTTATGTCTAATTCAGCCCTTTGTTCTTCTAGCTACCCAGATCAATAATGTACCTACACATGAGAAGTACAGCAAAATCGTGGTCTGAGACACATCCATAATGCAGTAGTTTCAGTAGTATTTTAGTACTAATATGTTAGCAAAAAAATTATCCTGGTCCCTCTTTTGGGACAATTATTTTGACTTATAATGAGGAGGAGGAGAAGTTTTTTACCTTCTAAGACAAAGGCTGGGATGGTAGAGAATATGAAGTTGTGTATGATGGGCTGGGAGATGTTAAAAGAGAATATATGGAGCAATTACAAATTTTATTTAGCACTATTAGCTTAAAAGATTTATTCCTCTATAAATCTTAATAAACTCAGTTGAAAGTTGATCCTCTATTGACCAATCATTAAGCGGCAGGCTTCGACGGAAGTGACAACAATTAAAGTAGATGTTTAAACTTCAGATCCTCCTCCTATCTTTCTATCTTTGCAAATCATACTTCTTTTCAAGATGTCCATACACCATTTCATATGCTGCCATTTATCTTGAAATGTCTCATCCAGTTTGAGGATTTTTTTTTTTACTTTTTCTCTTTCCTGAGACCTATTTATTCTTTCTTCATATATTTCTTTTGCAACTTTATCTTCATTCATTCTGTCTTATGTAACAAATATACTTTAACATTCTTATTTTATACTAATAATTCATATTTGTCTTCAATCTGTATTCATTTAGCAGATTTAACCTTATTTTTGCATTTTTCAAGTCATACTTGGGTACCACATTCTGATGGTATTCCATTTTTATCCTGATGTGTCCAACTCTCACTACTGCACAGCATCTTCTTTACAGTCATTTCTGCTTCTATTAAATAGCACTCAGTCCTTGCAACAATTCATATAATTAAAATATGCTTTTCTTTCTGTGAGCATCTGGATGTTTCAACATTTTTTCTTCTTTTTCCATATTCTACCAAGACACACATCATTCTACAATATAAATTCATTTACTTGCTCTAGTTTTTCCATTTTATGAATAATTACTCAATTTTCCTGTTAAGTACAGCCTTACTGGTCTTTAATTCACTAATGACCTCCTCACTGAACTATAAAAGTTAGTATTTTCTGTAAAATATTCAGGTTCTCAGTCAGCAACACAGTGTCATATAAATACAAAGTATAGCTTTACTCTTATTCTCTAGTGCAGGGGTCGCCAACCTTTTGGGCCTCAGGGACCACCAAACTCATAATTTTAGATCTCAAGGATCACTAACCGGTTCTGTGGGTGTGGCCTAATTTGTGGGTGTGGTTTGGTGGTCATGTGACTGGCTGGGCATGGCTTGTATGTAAATATTATAAATATGTATATAAATATTGATTTTTTTATAAAAAAGAGCAACTTTTACCCAAAATCAGGCAAAGTAGGCAGATTGAGTTGCTCACAGAATCATTCAGTGATCTATCTATCTGCCATCGGCTAGCTCAGTCTCTCAAATTTGCTTGCCATGAGTCTGCACTGAATTTGCTTGTAAGCAAAACTTCAGTCCTAAGGGAGGTTCAGCTGTGCTGAGCCAAAGATCTAAAGACTAACTAGAAAGCAAGAAATCCAACCATTTCCTGCTTCCTAGCTAATCTAAATCTCCTGGCGCAGCAGAACAGATGATGGTCGGAAAAAGGAAAAATAGCAATTTAGCAGGCAAGTTTACCAGGTAAGGAGTGACTGTGCGTGGAGGGTTCCCCTGGGCCATGTGGGTGGCACAGCCTTGTGTTTCTGCGCAGCCTGGATGAATTGCTTTGTGGGGATGCTCTAGGGTGAGATTTCTCTGCGGCCCACCAAAATTTTCTCATGGCCTACCAGTGGGCCATGGCCCACCGGTTGGCAACTGCTGCTCTAGTGAGTGCACCTTCAAATGTCATCAAGAGTAATCCTTATATGATTATCCATGAATATATTTAACAACTTAAATGGCTTCATACATCCTTGTCAAGATGGTAGAAAAACTAATTACTAACTTGGATAGAAACTGAGGCAAGGAAGATTAGATTTAATTACCTATTCTGTCAGGTGACCTAATGGGTATGATCAGAACTAGGCTATATATGCCATTTGTGACACTAGTTTAGATTAAATGATAAATGAACCTAGGCATATTTTCCTATGAGTCAATCATACACTAAACATGTACTAAAAGATCCAACGTGCTAAACAATTTTATTTATCTTTCCACAGAATTGCTGTGTGTTTCAAGAAAAAATAGAGAATTAACAATTCCAAGTAACAATTCAGGTGGAAAATGTTTACAAAGACAACTAAGAACCTTCTATTGATGTTCTCCAGTACCTAATTGACTTCGGCTATTCTTGAAAATAAGCAGGGTCGAATCAGGTCATTACTAATTTGGTCATATTGGTATGACCACCAGTAAATCCCAGGTCTTAAAGAAGATAACAGAAAAGCTGTTCCATTATTGCGAAAATATTCCTATAGACACCATAAACTGCATTTAATTTTTTTTACTTGCTCAAGTTAAGACTTCCAGAATAAACAAAATATATTATTTTAGACAGATTTGCACTGGCCTAATTGGTATTAAGCACAATTTGTTACATTGTTATTAAATTATAAATCCCTGTGTAAGAATAATTGAACTCCTCTGTAAAAGGCAGGAAATAAATCTAACTAACAAATGAATAATAGCCTCCTAGAGTCTTTTCAAGTGGGTAGGCTATAATACATCAAATAAATAAATAAATACCTTTTTTTACTCCATGTATGTTTTCATGCCAATTAACACTAAATGACTTACAGTGGTACCTCAGTACTTGACTCCTTTAAAACTCATTGAATTTGGCACTTGATATATTTTGACACAAAAATATTGTCCCAAAAATACTGTTCCAAACATACTTTATCATTGTCTCTATCAGCATAAAACTGAACGGCAGTTTTCTCATCACCATTGTTCTTTCCTTTTTTTTTCTTTTGTAAGAAGCAATGTTCCCATTTAAATTCTGGTAGGATAATAAA